GTGGCAGTGTCGATGGTCATCTTGGTGTTAAACATGAGTCCATTATAAAAGGTGTGAATTATGAGCCATTGTTCTAACCCATGGTGTGGGCAAGATCTTAGTAGTTCCTTGTATCTTTCCCAAGCGTCGAAAAGTGATTCTCCCTCGTTTTGAGTGAATTAGGTTATTTGGTTTCGTAGGACATCAGTTTTACTCGATGGAAAGTATCTAGCTAGGAGTACTTTCTTTAGGTCATTCCAAGTGGTTACTGAGGTTGTTGGAAGGGAATCTAACCGTGACGGGGCTCTATCTCTAAGGGAAAAAGGAAATATTATTAGATGTATCGCCTCAGGAGAAGCACCGATGGCTTTCAAGGTGTCAGCCAATTAGATAAATACTTTTAGGTGTTGGTTCGAGTTCTCCATAAGAAGACCTGCGAACTGGTTTTTATGAACTAATTGTAACAGAGAATTATTTAATTCAAAGTTATTAGCTGGTATAGTTGGGTTTACTATACTAGAGTGGGGTTCTTTGTTAGATGGTAAGGCGAAATCCTTAAGTGGTTTCTCGTTCTAATCTTCTACAATTGCTCTTTTAAGTCTTTGGAAAAAAAGACGAGCTTGGTGTTGCACCCCAAAATTTGCCCTCACAATACAAGACTGGAAGGTTGAAGGGGATTGAACACTTGGGCGTAACGTTGAGATTCTTCTATTAGAGCAACTAGGTTTTTGGTGTTGCGATTTTTTCGCATTGACCGGCTAAAGGGGTGCTTTAGTCTAGACGGTGTAATAACAAGGTACAAAATTTGACGAAATTGGTCCCCGACAACAGCGTCAAAAACTTGATGCGTGCTATCTGCAAGTATACGAAGTACGTCAGAGTAATATAAAATATTATTGATCCCAAAAAGACCAATTTCAATCTATCGATTACTATTGTTACGGTGTTTATCTAAAGCTAATGGAAACAGAGAGTATTGCGTACATACAAAATAATAATAATTAAGGAATGAATTAAAATTCAAAATAAAGGCATATTGGAGTGTAATTATCATCGATCAAACAATACTCCTATTTTCTTAGTAGTAACACTTATGGGGCAATATTTTCTTCCTTGAAAAAGAATTAACTAAAAAGGAACCGTCGCATTAGTGTAATTGGAATCGGACCTGACCTTTAATCTATACCAACCGCTCATGCTGCACTGGCCGCATCTTGCATTAAAGTGAAGAAGTCCTTTTTCATATAACTACCACTAAGACTCAGTTAAAAAGTGTTTTTAATAGAAAATTAAATATCAAAGGGTTTCCATCATACGTTCGGGCAACCGGATCCTAAATTTGTAAATGCATCTGAAAATAATTTTAAAATCACTTTCTAATAATACCAAACTTTCCTAATTAATTAATAAAGAACTTTCACTATTTTTACAAATTAAAAACTAACCAACTCTTATCTAAAGGGTCGGACAACTTTCGATCTTACCCGACGTAGTCACGGTTATTACCACTAGTAGAAAAAATGCTTTATAGTAGAGGTTATTAAGTCAGTTCACCTGCCACCTGACTTAAGAAGTGATGCGGTGGAAATTTCGTAAATATTTGTAACATTGTTAGGTCAATTACATTTAGAACTGACTTAAAAAAATTAAAGAAAAAAATATAATTCGTATTAAATTTCTTAAGTCGCCTGTGTTCACTAACTGACTTAAAAAACATATTTATTAAGTCAGGTATTGCCCACCTGACCTAAGACGTTTTATTTAATTTTAACAAATTAATTTTCTGATGTGTACTCTGCGGGAATCCAAAAGAATACCCTTCATAAAAATTAAGATCAGAAAAAAAAATTAAACTCATAAATCATATTCATAAAAATGCAAACCCTTTTTATTCTTCTCAATCTCTTCTTCACGCGACAAATTCTTTTTCTCTTCGCTGCAAATTCAATCTTCACTTCAAACCCTTCTCTCACTACAAACCCTTCTTCTTCACAAGAAACCATTCAATCAACAAATGAACTCCTTTGTTAAACTCTTCTCACGAACCCAGAAACCCCTTCATCAAACTCGAATCCTTCACATAAAATCTAGAAATCATACACTTCACTGCCGAGAAATCAAACCCTCATTGTAAATCTGACACCCTAAATTTCTGGAAGGCACTATTCATTTATAGGTATGTAATTTCTAAACCCTAACTTTTAATTTTTGTGATATTTAAATTTCTGTTTCTGTTGCTATTGTTGTTATTTCTGTTTTATTGTTATTATAATTGCAAGAGGGTGTTTGATTTGTTGTTTGTTTTATAATTGTAGGATATCATTGGAAATGATGTGAGTCTGAGTGAATACAGTGGAAAGGTTCTACTTGTTATCAATGTTGCTTCACAATGGTAACTTTATTTCATTCATTCATACTCATGAACTATTTTTGTGTTATTTTTAAATTTCTATTCAAATTATTTATTTCTTATACATATCTCTGTTATGTCAAATTATCGAAGTTTGGTACTGGAATTTATTTAGTTCATATATAAGAACACCAATGTTTTTCTCGAAATTTAATTGTGATGTAGTATGATAGTCTATGTGTTGGATGATGTAGTATATAACATTAAAACTGTCATATTTTGTATGCATGTTTTTGTTGATCGCGATAAGTGTTACGATCGAAGTTTATCTATCATGATTGTATTGAAATTATAGTCCAATTATAATATTCTAATTCATTGCTGCAGTGGTTTGACACAAACAAATTACAAAGACTTGAATGGGTTATATGAGAAGCACAAGAGTAATGGTACGTCATTTTAGCCATCGACAAAAATGAAAAAAATATATGTCATTTATACTTTATGAGTGTGGATTTTTCTTTATTGATATACTAGTGACTTTGAATTGTCTGTAGGCTTTGAAATCTTGGCATTTCCATGCAACCAGTTTCATTCGCATGAACTAGGATCCAATGAAGAAATTCAGAAAGTTGTTTGCACAAGGTTCAAAGTTGAATTTCCAATTTTCAAAAAGGTGATTATGCTTGCTTTTTTATTTTATTGCAATGAATTGTGGAAGTGTGCGGTTCAGTATTAAAAGATGTGTCGATTTATATGGAAATCACTATGAAATAGTCATTATATTGTAGGTTGAAGTTAATGGAAAGAATGCAGACCCTCTTTACAAGTTTTTGAAGGATCAGAAAAGGTGGAATATTTGGAGATGGCATTAAGTGGAACTTCACCAAATTATTGGAAACCAAGAAGGGAAGGTTGTCGAGAGATATGCTCCTACCACTTCTCCTCATAAAGTTGAGGTTAGATTCATTTTTAGCAAGGTTTCTATGTACTATTCTTCAACATTTAATTATAATCGAACCCTTTTGTCATCTGTGCCACGATTACATGTTAATAAGCTATATTTTTCTTGTTACTTCTTGTAGAAGGACATCGCGAAACTTTTAAAGTCTTAAGTACTGAACTCGTATGTTTCAGAGGTTAGTTTTTCCAGTCGATTATTTTCACCTTTTCCCTATCTTCTCAATGATCAATACTTTTTGTAACTCAAACAAATTTTGTTCGATTCTTTGTACTTATGTTTTTTACAGGACATGGAGAATCTGTTCAATGCATTCATAGGACATGAAAATTCACTAAAGCTTCTACTATTTATCCCTAGTTAAGTTATGGCCTGAAAAATACTTGTTAAGTTTGTGTGTCTGGACTATGCAATAAGAACAAAAGGATTGAATTTGAATGACTGAATATTCATGTGAATGTTATGTTGTTTACATGTAGAAGTGCCATTATACTCCTTAATATAATTTGAAGGGTTGAGTTTTCATGTGAATGTTATGTTGCAGAAATAAATTAGAGCAATTGTTGAAACATAATGTGGTGCTTAGTGGTGTTTCTCTTGATGTTATGTTGTGTCTTTTACAAGAAAATGGAGACTGCAATATTCAACAGCAAAGGAAACATAATGATCGCGCTTTTTCTTTGGCTGGAAGTGGTGTGCAATGAGCACTTTTTTTGTTAACTTAATTTTGGAATGAAAAATAAAGTTGTTTGTTATGTTTGTTTCTCCTTCTGGAGCTTTCTGATATTGAAATAATTTTTGCATGATTTTCTGAGCTCTTCTGCAGTAGCTAGTAAGGATTTTGAAGAGCAGAAACCATTCAACTATAATGAAGAGAAAGGGAAAGGAAATTAAGAAAAGAGAAGTCTAATGAGCAACAACATAGGAGAGGCTATTAGGAAAGCTATGTGCTTCCACATGGACCCTCTACTTGGAAAAAAAGACAGCTTATGTCCAATTTCCACGAAGGTTTGATGGCATCAATGACAATGATCGATATGCTAATGACAACACTGTATTCTTTGATGTAAGGGATATTTTCCTAAACTCCGATGCAAGTTGCAATCTAATTAACTGATCTTTAACTCTTGCCTTGAATTTTTTTTCCTTTTAGCAGGTATACTTTATCATGTAAAGAGTTTCTTTTGCTATTGTTGTAGATTAGTTTGATATCTACTAGATTAGTTACTTTCTCAAAGATTGTGCCATATATCTTCTTGATGATGTCTTCAGTGCAGTTGATGCACATACCGGCACTGAAATATTTAAGGTGCTTATCCTCTCAATCATTCATAATCATCAAATTGTTAAATATATCTGGCTTTAATCATATCTATCTTTTTTACAGGAATGTGTGAGGGGAGCTCTGAAATGAAAGACTATAGTTCTTGTAACACACCAAGTAGACTTCTTACATAATGTTGATCGTATCGTGGAAAGTCTATTTTTTAAGTCCTGTGTATAATTCCTGGTGAACAATGAGTTATTATAACATGTATATATATTTGCTTGCTAAAAGGTGATGAAGGAAGGAGCAATAGTCCAATCAGGTCGGTACAATGCCCTACTAATTCTGGATTGGATTTCGGTATCCTGGTAGCAACACACGAGACTTCTATGGAACTTGTAGAATTAGTCGCAACCATGCCTGGTTAAAATTCGAATAAGCCTATGATATCTAAGTCATTGTCTAACAACAGCAGAGAAACTAATGGTGAAAGTAATTCTCTTGACCAACCTAATTCAGCTAAGGGAAGTTCTAAACTTGTCAAAGAAGAAGAACGAGAAACCGGTAAAGTTAGCTTTAATATCTATAAACTCTACTGCACCGAGGCTTTTGGATGGATAGGGACTTTCACGGTACTCTTTCTTTCTGTGTTATGGCAAGCATCTATGACGGCTAGTGATTATTGGTTGGCATATGAAACATCGGTCAAGCGTGCTGAATTTTTCAATCCTTCGTTGTTTATTTTCGTCTACGCAATTATTAGCATAGTTTTAGTTCTTTTGATAGTGCTGGGATCCTATTCGGTTACAGTCTTCGGGTTAAAAACAACACAGATTTTCTTCAAACAAATTCTTAATAGCATCTTGCATGCTCCAATGTCTTTCTACGACACTACTCCATCAGGCCGAATTATAAGCAAGGTAAGAGTTTAAGGCCGAATTCAAGTATAACCGATTTCATATGTATGTATGTATAATTGCAACTTCATTGTTTTTGAACTTTCACAGGCATCCACTGATCAGACAAATTGGATAGCATTAAAATTTGTAAATAATGCTTATATATTTGACTCACATAGCATATTGGATAATTTATCAATTATCGAAAGAAATTTGATTGGATTATACTAAATAATTGAGTTACATAGAGTAGTGTTGTCATTATTTTAAAAATATTTTCCGACGAGCTTAACATTTATAACTTGGCACTTTTAGATTTTGGATCACCTGTACAAAACTGTGTTGTTGTTAATCTTAAAAAAAGTATGTATGTGTATATATATATATATATATATATATATATATATATATATATATATATATATATATATATATATATATATATATATATATATATATATATATATATATATATATATATATATATATATATATATATATATATATATATATATATATATATATATATATATATATATATATATATATATATATATATATATATATATATATATATATATATATATATATATATATATATATATATATATATATATATATATATATATATATATATATATATATATATATATATATATATATATATATATATATATATATATATATATATATATATATATATATATATATATATATATATATATATATATATATATATATATATATATATATATATATATATATATATATATATATATATATATATATATATATATATATATATATATCTGTGTGTGTGTGTGCTATCCCAAAAAAGTGATATTAAAAAAAACTTGTTAGGTCGGTTAAATATATCTGATTTAAGAAAAGAAGTTCTTAAGTCGGGTACAAATTGGATAAGGGCTTTCTGAAAACCTAGACTTATTAAGTCGGGCGTAGTTAAACCGACCTAATAAAATTTTCTTAAGTCAGGTCTAAATCCGACTTAAGAAGTCAAAAGTTCTTATGTCGGCAAATCATAGGTCAGTTTCGGACCCGACTTAAAAAGTCATTTTCAACCGACTTAACAAGCATTTTTCTACTAGTGTACGTAAATAGAAACACGGTCCCGTTCACGTAGTGACTGAACAATTTAAGTTCAGAAAAGTTGCATTAAAATCCAAAGCAGCCCTTAAAGTGTTTCTACAAATACAACATATGAAGTAACGTCGAAACGACGGTCCTCACATCCCAACACAACAGATTTAGCTTGACATGACAGTGCTAGACATAATAAATAATTTGCTTGTAGAATAAATCATTTAGGAAAACAAAACGTGTGTGATTGGTCTTCAAACGAATAGAAGTGTCACTCTTAGGTTTGGTTCAAAAACGAATCTTGGAAATAAAAGCGATATGTAAATCGTGCAAGAAAATAAATGCCTGATCGTTTCAGAAGAACAAAAGTGTCACGCTTGAGTTCACTCTTAGAAAATGAATATCTGAAATAAAAGGCAATAAATAAATCGTGCAGAAAAATAAAGGCGTGATCGATTCCCTAAAGTAAGAACAAAAATGTCATGCTTAAGTTCACTCTTAGAGAACAAATATTTAAAATAAAAAGTGAAAAATAAATCGTGTGAAAAATAACCGTGTGATCAGTTTCCAAAGGTAAGAACCATAGTGTCACTCTTAAGTTCACTTTGGAAATAGATCTTTGAAACAAAAAGCTATAATAAATCGTGCGGAAATTAAACAAATTAAAGCAATGCAGAAAGTAAATAATGGTTCAGAAGTCAAATGAATCTTAAGAAGGCAATCATTGTTTCCTTACTACATTTGGTTGTATGCTTGGTTAACTCAGACTATGCACCCAGCTTCCCAGAGGTTAGAAATTGCACTGATGATAATGATGATGGTTCAGAAGTCAAATGAATCTTAAGAAGGCAACCATTGTTTCCTTACTACATTTGGTTGTTCTTGACATTGAGGATTTTCAAGAGAGAAGGTTTTATAGCTCTCTTCTTTTATTTATCCCTAACTTTTGCCTGAACTATTTCTTTTGAAGCTTACAGTCAGCGGGATGCCCTAGTTTTGCCTAAGTCTCCTTCATAGGTTTTGAATTAGCGGGCTTTTTTCTTCTTCTTTTTATGATTATTTTTCCAAGGAAGAGGAAGTGACTACTTGGCCTAATGATTACGGCGAACCATCATTCGCTTTTGAATTGAAAGACTTCTTTGACACTTGCTTGTTGTGTGCAAAAGAATATTTGTGAATGCAACCTTTATATGAAAGGTGTCTTGCATGAAGACACAACCAAGTTAACTAAGAACTACCCTGCCCCGGGTTATGATTATGGTTTTTGTTTTGTGCAAAGAAAGAAACTTCAACTTCTAGACTCGAAGGGTTTAACAAGGAAATAACTTCCTTATTTCTCAAGTGTTTGGGAGTTAAAACAATTCCTTACATAGTCAGCAAAGTTTATTTGAAAGCATACCAGCAATTATGGGTATAACGTTTTCTTCATCCTCCCTACAATCTTGGCACAATCCAAAAGAAAATGGAAGAGGGATACAATTTTTTTTTTAAAAAGGACAATATAAAGATGTAAATAGTAAACAGAAATGAGTTGAATCAAAATAACTTGCAATGGTCATTTCATTAGTCATGAAAGTATAAACACAATTTAAAGGTAAATAACTAGTACAAAATATAAGGAAAATGCAAACAATAAGAAACATGACGTAGTGACTAATCAGTAACAAGGATGAGTTGTCATGTCTGAAACACTAGCTTTTGGGAAGATAGTCAGTTGAAGTCGATTGAAGCTTCACTTTTGATGCTCTGGTAGAGGATTTGTCTGGACATTAGGATTGGCGTCATGAAAGCTAAGGATCCCGACCTTAATTAAATCACGCACTCTAGCCTTGACTGCATAGCAATTTTCCAAATCATGGCCTTCAGAACCTTCATGGAATGCACAATGGAGATCAGATCTAAACCCAACTAGAAGAGGATTTAGAGGAGGAGGCAGAGTCCTTGTGGTAATCAAACCTTTTTTAACCAGACTAGGATAAAGTTCAGTGTAAGTCATGGGAATAGGATCAAATTTATTCCTATTATGACACTGGTTCTACCGTACATCCGAATGTTGAGGAGCTTGAGTTGGTTGTGGAGTAGCAACCACAAGAGTAATAGCAACAATGGTAGGGTGATTAGCATACTGAGGTCTATGACGAGTTCTCACTTCAGTCATGATAGCATTGGTATGGTCTTCTCTCTTCTTCTGGAAGTTCCCATAGGATTTCTTCGCATCATTAAAAGATTTAGCAGCCTTGGACACTTTACCATTCTTGAATCCTTCCTTGAGTCTTTGACCAATGGTTACCAAATCAGTGAAGTTAGAAGAAACACTACCAATCATCTTCTCCCAATAAAATGGAGATAAGGTGTCCATGAACATTCCAATTAGCTCCTTTTTTCTCCTTTTTTTCTAGAGGGGGTTCAACTTGAGAAACGAGTTCTTTCCAACGCTGAGCATATTCCTTGAAAGACTTTTTTATCATTCTGAGACATATTTTGAATTTGACGGCGGTCAGGAGCCATGTCGAGGTTGTACTTGTACTGCTTCATAAAAGCATTAGCAAGATCCTAGAAGTAGTGGATACATGTTTTGTTTAAAATTCATATATCATTTGAGAGAAGCTCCACTCAAAATGTCTTAAAAACAGTGGATGAGAGGCTTTTGGTTGTTGGTGTAAGCAGCCATCTTTCGAAAGTACATGACCAAATGATCCTTTGGACAAGAATGACCCTTATTTCATAAACTCGGGAGTTTTTAATTTAGCAGGCATAACAAGGTCAGAAACTAGGCACGTGTTGTCTGCGTCCACACTAAAGAAGTCAGTACCCTCAACAGTTTTAAGTCTCTTGTCTAATGGCCTAAAATTGTTCATGGACAACCTTAGGTTCAACAAAGTCTTCATGTTCTTCACCTTGAGCACTAACATCAGTGTACTCATAGAGAGGATTCTCAAAGGAAGCTAGGATAATCCCGACAAAAGTATGGACTACGGGTCTAGGCTCTGCGAAAAATGGAGCTTGAAATATCGGTCTGACAATTTGACCAATCATAGGAGTAGATGTAAAAGGTGGAGAATAATTATGGGGTAAACCAAACTCTAGCCAAGTTGAAGGTAGAACCTGAACAGGTTGAGGATCAGCATTTGAAACCTCCTAGATGACAGTCCTTTAGGGTTGCTCTCCTCTAGCAATCAAGACCTGGAGCATTTAAGTGAGCTTGGTCATGCTTGACTTAAGATCATTGATTTCCATTCAGAGCTTTGCATTGTATGCTTATTATTCTGACATCTTGCATCGACAGTTAGCCCTAGTCTTCTATCTTTGTCGAGGAATCAGCTTGACAACTGAAAAATGACACTAGAAGATATAGACAACTGGAAATGAGTCGTTGGACAAACAGACGCATGCAATGAATCATGAAAATATATAAATGATATGCAATGCAATGCAACACAAGATGCAGATTACAGACAACAGGATCACAACATGGAGTATGGGTAAAGAACCAACCACAAGGCATGTACTATGGGTAAAACACCTACACAACGGGTTCTAACAAGGTTACCAGATTCATCGATAAATATTTTGGATATTATCGGTTTTCACGACTACTCATGCGACTAATAATATTCTCAAGATAAATTCGTCTGATTGTAGTATCGCGTATAAATTCCTTCGGGATTACTCCCTTATAATCACCACACTACATCCTAAAATGTTAAGTGGGGGTAAAAAGTAACTAAAGGTCCTCAGTGTCACGGGCTCCTAGGTCAAATGTAGTAATATTTTCACAAATACTCGTTCAATAATACTACTCCCAAGAGGGCCTCAAATGTGTGGTGATTTCTCAAGTCAGCTTGGTCGGGAATCAACTCCCTATAAGCCTCCTTAAATATATCACATACTTATCATAAGTGCACTCAAGTATGGGATAGGACTTATCTCGCAAAAGTATGTAACCACCCTACATACAGAAAAACCAAAATAGACAGATATATACAAGTATACAATAACACATACAAAACAAGTTAGGGGTAACCCTCTTAAGGTAGATGTCCTTAGTGAAGTCTCTATTTCTTTCGCGGTGAGAATCGAATATCAAGCTATTAAATTAACTTGTATCATAAATCAAAATTTACCATTGACCT